CACTAGAGGAAGGTGTTAGTGGCCCATAGAAGAAGCATCTAGCCTCTCTTCCCTCTCCACCCACCCCAGCAGCAGGTTCACACTAAAGACGTTTGAGTGTCATTCAGGAAGAGGGAAAATTGCTTTCCAAGGTCCACTTTGATGTTAGCATGCAGGCCTTGAGTGTAGCAGCCACAGGGCCCACAGGGAGCCTACAAATCTCCACAACATACATGGGTTTTTCCCAGGAGGGTGTTGGAGCGAATCATATCCCAGGCCTGAGGAGCAATGTAGATGTTCTTGCACATAACAAGCCCTTCATCAAGCTAGGGGAGTAGACCCTGGTCAAGAGCACTGCGTTTGCATAGGTCACCTTTGTGCTGGAGCAAAGTACTTATGCAGTTACCCTACCTTCTTCTGTTCCACAAAGTGGAGCACTTCTTCGAGGTGGACCCTCTGATGCGGGCTGTGGACAATGTTTCCAACCCTGAGAGGTCTGCCAGGAATGAAGGACATCAGTTTGAAGCCTGACTGGTGACAGGGACTGTCACCTTGTTTTTTGATGTTTTTGTTTTTGCTTCTTAAGGAGCACAGGATCTGACACATCACAGAACCCAGCCAGTGTCTATAAACCAATGACCAAATGAATAAGCCAACTAGAACACTGGTCGGGAAAGTGAGCAGCACTCAGAGAAGAATAAACAATTAACTCAGGCAGAGAGAGGTTCAGATGCCAACAGAGAGGGGCTGAGGTGTAATCAGGGCCTTGAAGAGTATGCAGCGTTCACAAGGTGGAGAAAGGAAAGCATGTCCTAGAACGATCCCTCTGGGAGCTGGGAGATGTCTCAGTCAGGAATGTGCTTCCTCTGCAAGCTTGATAACCTGAGTTCAGATCCCCAACACCCATGTTTAAAAAATTAAAATAAGCAATTTAAAAAAAAGCCAGACATGGAAGTGTGTGTCTGTAACCCCAGCACTGAAGAAGTGGTGAGCGCAGAATCCCCAAGGCTCACTGGTCACCCATCTAGCTGCAGTGAACTTTCAGATTCAGTGAGAGACCCTGCCTCAAAAATAAAATGGAAAACGGCTGAGACAGACCCCCTTCACCACACACACACACATACACACACACACACACACACACACACACACACACACATACGGGTGGGGGATGAACCTTCTGCCAAGAAACAATGAAAAATGGCTCTCCACTCTCCTTCTGAGATAAGATGGTTTATGAATCAGCACCATTGAGGCTTTCCACAAAGCTCCTGCTCTCCTAGAACTCACAGCACAAACACCAGTCAGAATGCCCCAAAGTTTCACTGAATTGCATATATGTTCAGGACTTCCAGTTGTGACAGCTGTTTCCTCTCTCAGGAAGGATCTTCAGGGGATCCAGTGGGTGGCAGCAGATGAATCCCAAACTCCCTTGGGACAGAGCAGTTGACAGCCTGGACAGAAACAATGGAAGCTTCCTGTAGGCAGAAGGAAGAGCTGCTGGGTGCCAAGACTGGGTTCTGGTCAGGCTCAGGGTTCAGAAAGGAAACCTTAGCATGGAGCACGAGAACATAGACTTTGGGGCTGAATGCTCATTCATTTATGTGCTGATACTTACTGAACATTTTTTTTTAATATTCTAGGCATTACAGAATGGTGAAATGGAAAGTTTCACTTGTACAATTTATAGCAAAACAATAATGAGAATCAATAAGTGTTGCTTACTGCTCACTATGGGCACCAAAATTATTACAGGCACCAGGAATTTTCAGTACTTTGCAAGTGCATTGATTCCAACATTTCAACAACGTGTGGTCAACCCAGCTTTTCAACATTGCTGGTCAGCAATGTCATCTACATACTCAACCTCACCAACTGTGCAAGTTACAAAACAAAAATCTCCCTTAATACTCCCACAGTGTTTTACGTAAGTTTACAGTATTGTGTTGGGCCACATCTATTCCTCTTCTGGGGCACATGTGGCCCATGGACTGTACAAGAAAACTCTTAAGTTACTACTACATGCCCAAGTCATAGACCAAGAAACAGTCACTGAGACTTGAGGCCAGAGTCCTGACTGAGATAAGAGCCCTGGCATTTGGCCCCAGTGATGGGACTCTCTGCCACCAGGGGCACCAGAGGGTGACCAGGGCTGGGGAAAGGGTCATCCATGAAGTCCACTCTGAATAGGGACATTTGAGTAGTACACAGGCATGGCAAGACTGGGAAAAGCATTCTAAGGAGAAAATCACAGAGCTGAGGCTCCATGGAGGACACAGGCTTGCCTTGCACCCAGTCGGAGACAACAGCATAGAGAGGTATGGAGGGAGCTGAAGTATGGGCTGCTGGGATAGATTTGGACTGATCCTTACTCTTACATTCTCTCTGCCCACTCTTCTGCAATGTGTTCTTTTCCTTTGCTTTGATTTACACTTAAAAAAAAACTGCTTTGTTTGTTTTTGTTGTGGTTGTTTGATTGTTTGTTTGTGTTACATGTACAAGTACTTTGCCTGCATGTAAGTGCATCATAAGCATGTACTGCCTGCGGAGGCCAGAAAAGGGCATCGGATTCCCTGGCACTGTAGTAGCTCTACACCATCACTCTAGTAAGTGATGGGTTTGCACTAGTGAGATCTCTTCTGTTCTGCTTGTGTGTTAGTTACTCTCACTTTGCCATGACAAACACCTAACAAGAGCAACAGAAGGAAGGGGGAGAAGGAGGGAGGGAGGGAGGGAGGGAGGGAGGGAGGGAGGAAAGAAAGATGATGGATTTATTTTAGCTCATGGTTTCATGTTGGGAGAGTCATGGTGTCTGCTTTTCCCTTTGTGAGTGGTCTGCATGACTGAGATGCAATGATCCATCTTTTTACTATGTTGTAAAGGTGGCTTGTGTTGCAACACTAATGACAAGGACTTAACTGGTCACAAAGCGTCCCAAGTCCACCACCCCCCCAGAGCCCACTGTCCAGAGAGAATTTGTTTCCTCCTTGCCATGGTCATAAGGCTAGTGATTAGTCACAACCGTGGTTAATCATGAAGAGGCAGAGAGCCCTCAAATCAGAGAAGTCTTGATTAACAATATTAAAATATCTTGTTGTATGAAGGTGTTTATGTAAATGTCTGACTTATGGAAAGTAAGGATTGAAAAAGAATTCAGGAATTTACACCAGTAAGCGTCTGTTGACAGGTCTAACAATCGGGGACACCCTTCGGCTGTGTGACTTGCAAGGTGACAAAAGTGGACAGCCTACAGTTATGAGGATCAGGTTTTCTAAGATGAATATTGAAGTTCCTAGAACTAATGAGTGGGTGTCCTTGGGGGAATCAGAGGAGAGCATATTTGAAGTGGGGTATGTCATAGGGAATATTTGAAATTGAGAAAGTCATGGAAACCCCATAGCTGGGCATAACGCCCATGCAGAGGTTGGGCCCAACAAGGAGGATACACTTGAGCCATGATCCCACACCACACCAATTATACCATGATAGATTCCACAAGTCCTGATCACATGCTGAGGTTCCCTCCATTGTGTAGAACTCATGAGTCACAGATCAGTCCTTCCCTCGAGGAAGGATGCCACTGTCCTGATGCACATTGTGAGATGCCGGAAGACTCTTGGGTCCCTAAAATTGATATACTAGAAAACACCAAATTCATGGTCCAGAACCTACCAGGAAGACCCACCAAGGATATTCAGGGGCTGTCTTCTAGACATATAATTCTAGCCCTGTGGTTGGCTGTTTCTTCAGTCATTCATTGATATGGTAATGATTGACTGAGGCGGGCCTAGAAAGATGGATGGTAGGTCAAGCACTTACCACACAAACATGAGGAACAGAATTCAGATCCCCAGGACTCACTTGAAACAGGACATGGCAGCTCACTTCTGTGATCCTACCATCCCTACAATGAGAAGGGTGGAGGATTATCTCCGGAAGCCCAAAGACCACCAGGCCTGGTGTACTCAGAGGTAACATCAGTAAATCCTGTCTCAAACAAGGTGGAGGGTGACAACTAGTACCCAATGTTGTTTTCTGGTCTTCACATGCATGCACGCGTGCACGCACGCACGCACGCACGCACGCACGCACGCACGCACGCACGCACACAGATTTTAATTGTTTTCTGTGCGCACTATCAGCATTAAATGATTATCAGAGAAACCCCTTGCATTAGACCTTAGAACCTAGTTCAAAGAAAGAAAATATATGAGAGGGTCAGAGGCTTTGGATGGAAACCAACATAAGCAAGATGGCCAGGGGGTCCTGGCCCGCTGCAACCCCTGGCAGAGAAGAATGGTCAGTTTGCCAAGCACATCAGTGACCAACACTCCTAGGCCATAGAGAACCTGGCATTCAAGGGACAGAGAGACTGAGGCCACAACCCTGGGGACTTGAAAATAAGTGGAAGGAGGTCATTCTGAGATCGGAACTCCACAGTGAACAGGAAGCAACGTGGAGCAACTGGAGGGTTCTAGAAAGGGGCCCGAGTGAGGGAGACAATGTACATGTCTCAGTGTCTGGGACCATTGTGGTCAGCAAGTGCATCAGCATGCTCACACCATGGGGTTTCCAGGAATTAGCTGCAACTCCTAACATGTTCTGTCTATGCTATGTCTTATGAGAAATTTATATTAATGCTCAACTGCTTGTAAATAGCTGGCAGTGAGTCCTTCTCAGACTTTTTCTGTAATAGAGTGACTGTAACTTAGTTTTTTGCAATAATGCTACATACCAGAGTATTTTTTTAAGTGAGCTTTCCCTTACAACTGTGCCTTGGCTAAGTGATTGATCATTCATAAGCCATTTATAATTGATCATTTCTCTGTGATGAGGAATTTTCATCTCCAATTTAACATTTTTTTATTCCGATCATTTAAAAGGTTGAAGGCGGCATGGGTCCTTTTACCCTTGGCTGCCAGGAAGCTCTTGTCTAAAGCAAATGATTAACCACAGTAGCCATTTCATGTACACCGTTGGGATATTTGTTTCCCTTCTGCTTTTCTTTCTTATTGCTTCCTTCTTACGTCACTGTCAATTATTTTGAAACTGGATGTTTGCTGTCAATTAGGAAAATGTTGTGCTTTCAAAATGACCCTCATCTGCCGGGCATATACTTTAGAAATTCTGCACTCACCAGTGATGGGGTGGGACTGGTTAGTGAGTCAGCAGATCAATACACTGTGGTTAATGGTGTCTATAAAATGTGATGTCTCAGAACCTCAGCCAGGGACATATCACCCTGGCAAGTGCTGTTTCTATGAGGAAGGCAGCTTGTGTCATAAATCCGAGGTCTGACTCTCTTCATCCGAAGAGTTTTAAGCTTCACGTAAAACAGGGATGTTTCCTGTTATATGAAGGCACTTGCCAAGGAGCTTCAACTTCTGTCTCCTTCCCTGCTGAACTTTAAAACTGGAGAGGCAACTGTCTGCTGAGGCTGTTTTGTCTAGCTCTGGGCGTGGGGCAGGAATCCAGCAGTCTGAGTCTTAGCACTCCAGCTCCACCTTACGAAGAAGCTCAAGGAAGTGCCTTCACCGTGTGGATGCTGTGAATGGCAAAAATAATTAAAATAAAAAAATTGTCCTCTAGAGAGAGGGCAAAGTAGGATGGAGGGGTAGGGGTAACTAGGCAGCCCACAGGTCTATGTCTCTGAGACCAAACACTGGACACCATTTCGGCCAAAGTGATCTCCAGAAAGGTTCTCTTATCCAGGCTCTCTCTCTCTCTCTCTCTCTCTCTCTCTCTCTCTCTCTCTCTCTCTCTC